GGAACTGTAATAACATATTTATTACAGAAAAATACAACTAATTACAAAAACCATTTTATTCATATAGTAGGGACAAAATGAAATATATGTTAAGGATACACTGAAATGATAATTTTCAAGAAAGGGGGCGTACGTTAATCATGTGAGGTTTTTAGGGGGGGGGGGGGTGTTGACAAAAATACACAAAATATTACGTGAGGGAGAGAGGGGTATAGTAAGATATCACGTGTATTTATTTTTTACAGTTTTTTTTAAAAAATCCAAACATTTTCAAAAATGATCAAACATTTTATATATTTTTCTCGTAACTAAAAAAACACGTGATGTTTGGTGGGGAAAGGGGTGTAATTTTGATATTACTACGTATCACCTGAAGGGAGGGTCTAAAAATCCTTAAAAAATCGATCAGATGATTAATCGACAAGCCCAAAGCGACTAACAAATGATTCATTTGGCCCTTCTTTATCTTTGATCAGAATGGGAAAAGAAGTCTTTGCAACAAAAGCAAGTCTCTTCACTCTACCGGTAGATTTTTTGGTTTGTTTTTAGCAATTATTTCTTGTTCGGCAGATTTCTATCTGTCATTTTATTCGAAATGGAACGAAAATGAATAATCAATCAAAAATCCATCAAACACTTGATTTTTGCAATTATATTGATTGAAATCACTAGTACTAGTATAAGTTAGTTGAGATAATTACAAATATCAATGAACAGGTTCCCAAAAATTATGAGAAAACACCCTCAAAGTAAAGTTCTCAAGTCAGGAAACAAGTTTGAACTTACTACTGTGACAATGACGCTCAACATCTGACATAATTGTGATTATGGCTCTCTTTATATTATACAGTTGCTGAAACGTTACTAAAACTAACCAAGTTTTAAATAAAGCCACTGTATTATTTTATCCATACATACAATTTTGTCCGTATTTCCCCTACGTAACAATCTGTGTAATATTGTATGAAACGATTAAAGTCAAAATCGGGACTGAAGCAAATTATCGATTTTTTTGCGATTACTATAATTTACCCGATGGTAAGTTAATAATGAAGTAAAAATGGATTAAATCTGTAATATGAATAAATCAAATTAATATATTTATAAAACCAAACATTAAATATAATAGGCACTTCAAAATTGACAACGACTCTGAATTGAGATAAATTGATGAGAACATAAAGTTATTAGAGCGTTCGTCGGACAAATCCATTTAATTTAAAATCTCAAACATACATTTATTTCTATTATAAATAAAAATATTTGAAAACTATTCATTACATCAAAAGCCCGCCAGTAGCCATCTGATTTACTGCCGAGCAATTTCGTACTCCTCTCTGCGCTTTTACTGCATCGCATTAAGCTTTTATGTTCCATCTAAAGGAAGAGAAGGCAGGAAGTTTTTAAAATATATGAAAATTCAACAGCGCCCGGAGTTGTTTATTTGACACGCGATATTAGGTAGATGATGCCTTGGCAACGTCCCAAAATTTGGCAATATACACCTAGCACACGCCCAGTTTAAGTACATGAACTCTGAACCTATATAATTGGATCATGAATTACGTAGTACATAAACGGAACATCATGAGCATAACTCAGCTTCATAATGGTTCTGCAGTTTGAAAGTCAAGTGTTTGATAATATTCAGCGGGAGTAATTAATTGATTAGATAGTTTGAACTGATTTAAAAAAGTAAACAAGTGCACGATCCTACTTACTAGAAGTTTTATTTAAATATCTCGTCAAAAGTTTCATTGTGAAGAGCGAATATAATGCTTTCCAATTCTCTACTATAGACAAGTTTATCACAAGGTTCTTCCATCAGTCGTTATTTTTGGAAAACCTTCCATAATAGAAATCTAATTCCAGGCTCAATTTAATTGCTTTTGTAAATTATCTTTAATCATCTTTATAATTTCTTAGTCCTATAACGCTAAATTTATTGACACGTTTCATATAGAGAAAATATGACTATATAATGACCTTATTGTCTTGTTTTGGTAACGTTTCTGCGACTATATAACATAAAGAAAGCCATAATCACAATCCTGTCAGATGTTGAGCGTCATTGTCTTAGTCTTGTCGCAGTAATCATTTCGAACGCGTTTCGCGCCTTCAAAAGTTTATTTTGAGGGTGTCTCATGTTTTTTGGAGACCTATTTATTGATATTCGTAATTATTTCAATTAAAGTCAATTAACTTATTATGTCGGTACTAGTGATTTCAATTGGAATTCGATTCAATTTCAATTGGATGGAATTTTGATTAATTAATTATTTTGATCGATTTCGGACAAAATAGCATAGTATACAATAGACAAAATGATATAGTATTATTTTACAAGCATTACATATCCAAGAAAAAAAAAACAAAAAGTAACAGCCAATGGTGATTGGCTTTTAACTTCTACTCCAAGTATGAAAGAAATGATTGCTAAAAACAGACCAAAAGATCCACCGATGAAAACAGGAGACTTGCAATTGTTGCAAAACCCTCTTTGTCCTTTCAGAGATTTTACTATGTATGACTTGTACTATTTGGGTACTTCATACTTACCTCATAAGCTAATGTCTCTAGGAGGACAAAATGATTTATTTGTGAACTGCTTTTTTATTTAAGCCCCTGGGAGCAAAAAAATTGAAAATATCCATATTAAGGACCACCCTAATGTACTAAGGTGAACATCTATTTCGCCATATTTTTATATAAAATATAATTTTCGGTTAATCTGCTATATGAAATTTGTTGAAGTTAACGTAGAAAGAAATAATTAAAGGTAATTAGATAATTTCTTTAACAAAAAGTGAGGCTTTTAGTTCAGGAAAAACAATCATAAATATATTATATATTTTCATAAATTATTTTAGAAACATAATAATCAATCTAAAATGATTGACGATATCAAGTTCAACGCAAAAGCATAAAGTACACAAGCAATTGAAACAATGACTTTCAACTTTTATATTATTATTCTTCTGTACTTCTTTCAATTTTTTATTCGCCCGTGAATCTTTTTTCTGAATCCTCTCACTTTCCAACGAATTGTATAGGCAAAATTGTAAGTGCCATATTTATACCCTAATTAAATCAGCGCCGTCTCCACAAAGACTTCGGCATTCAATGAAATAATAATGTTCTTTGTCATTCTTTGTTTGTGAAGCATTTACACATTTATTCTTGAATGTTTTTTCACAAGCTCAATTAGGGCAATTCTTTGTTGCGAGTGGTTTTGGCAGTGAAATATTATGTTTACGATAATTTATAAAAGAGTACGACATAGATCATGTCATAGGAAAATTGCGGAAATTGTACATTTTTAATTTTTGATATTAATTGAAATGAATATAGGAAATATTCAACGTGAAATAGGGAAGTGGTTGAGGATTTTCTTGGCAGTATTATGTATAAATGGATGTACCTCTGTGTGCCTGTATATGTCCTATGCATCCATAAACCATACATCGAATCCATAAACCATACATCGAAAATTTGGGAAACAGTTAGCTAGTAATCCCCGATTTTTGCATATATATTTTGATTGAAACCAAGTGGTTGGGGTTGGCTACCTCGATTCTTTTTTTTATTTTCTTGGTCAATCTTTATTTTTTTATAATACGTTGTTGTGGCCCATCCAGCGACGGTGCCAACAATATGTAGGTTCTTTCTGCTGCTAACAAAGCTGTTACCAATCTGTGGAGGCTGATCAGTAAAACAGACGAAGACGTTTGATATTTTTATATCAACTGAATAATTGAGAATGACTGAATATGATTAACTAAAATACGACTCTATTGATAACTAAAGTACGACTGAACTCATGATTGACTGAAGACTGACTGGACTGGTGAATACGTCATTGAAAGCCTTTTATGTGCTCGCTTTAATGTGAACTCCTAGATAACAATATTTTGCGACTTGTTCAATGTCATGGCAGAGTAATTGTTATTGCGCATTTTTGTTTTGGCAGGGAATTTTATCAACGCTTACAAAGGTTACTTCGAGCATACAATGTTGTAGCAATGTGTAACACAACAAACTGCGTTGTTTGTATTCTGACCGTTATATACTTTATGATATTATTTGTAATTATTATGAATAGGTGCCTATAATACAAACCTATTTGTATCATTATAGTAAAATCACCATTTTTTATCTCGATTTTTGTCAGTAAACACTTATTACTGAATTTTGATTGAGATGCTCTAAGCCTAGGAAAAAACAGCAATGGGTTTTCATTTAATCGTTTACTATAATTATAATTAAAAATGAAATATTCGATGCCCACTATGGGGTAAAAGAAAGGAGATTAATTTTTTTTTGAATATTTTTCGATAGTTGGTTGTTTGATATGTATATGTATTATGTGCTGTGACAATTATTGAAAGTCAAATGTTTCTATGCTTATATGCTTATATATTGCGATGCTGATTGGGATATTTGACTCGATGATACATCTAATTCAGTTCAATTACGAAAGAAACGTGTGCTATTTTCCATCTGGATAACTAGATGTAACAGCAACTCGTGATCGGGTAGAGCTAGTATTTTACATAAACTGATAAAATCTCAATTTTTATTGAATCGATATCGGAAAAATTCCGCTCTTAAAACTTGTATACTAGTTTAGTTTAAAAGTTCAAAGAAATATAATGAGTTGTCAAGTCACTATTAAAGTTTATGAACTATAAATAGATTACTAGACCAATGTACCTTCATTTACTTTTGTATTATTAATAATATTGATTTCGGTCTTTAGAAGATTTTTTCTGGAAAATACTGTGTAGCTGAATGGTAGGAAATTACGGTAGATAATGGATTTTCTACCGTTTAAATGATGTGTATAATAAATGTTTTTGATAATAGTTTGGTCATCTATCTGTAGAAAATCGTTCGAACAACTTTTTGTCGAGATTTGTTTTTTAGTATTAAATTAAAAGTAATCAATATCGGATAATTGAGATTTAATAACCGTTTATAATAATTGGTTTATGTTTCAGGTTGAAGCTGGTGACATAATTCTTAAGGTCAATGAAACGGACGTGCATCTATTCAGTACCAAAGAAGGTGAGTTTTTTTCTATTATAATTTCACAAATCGTATATGAAAGAAATGTGTAATATTCCATTATAATATACTATACTATGGTGGTTAATACAAATTAATATAAATTTTAATAAACCTGATTGGGAAAAAGCTTAAACCGATAACTGATTCTGGATCCGTTACTCACTTTAGCCAACTTGATATCAAGCAGTAGTAATATCAGATTTTTACTTGAGATGAAAATCTCAAATATTATTAGGAGAATTTAGATTTTCGGTGAATTGCTTTAATATATATTATTATATGTATTAGAAATAATACTCACTATTATAAATATATCTAATATAACCTGTATAAAAAGGGAATGGTCAACTATCGGGTTGCTTCCAGCAAAAATAACTTATATTACACTTAGTTCTGACTGATGTTTAAATATTTAAAAAAAATCAAACCGATGGTTTTTGTAACTAATTTACCATTTTATGTCGTTCAATAGTATTTATGCAAAACTTGCCAACCATGAAATTTTTCCATATTTAATAAAAATACTAACATATTTTTTATATTTCCTTCAAAATAAAATTTACATTAAAATGAATGCATTTATATTTCTATAAATTTTTTATAAGTGTTGAAAAAACTATGAATTGTTATATTTCTATAAAAATTCCTATGTTTATTATTTTTATTATTAAAATTTTATTTATACATGTAATTAATGTATTACTACAATAAAAGAAATTCCATGATCTCATAATCGATGTGGAAGTACATAGTATTTTTTTATTCAATTATTTAAAAAAAAGACAGATTGTAATTTATAAAAGCAAATAAAAAATAATTAAAAGGCAATTTATTGAATATATATCGCACCAAGGATATATTATTATTATTATTGATGAAAATTTACTTACCAATTTAATTAGTATGATGTAATGTTTAGTGTTTTTAGTTTAATATTACTATGAAAACAATTTACAACAAATTTGAAGATCTTATTAATTTTTTATCATTATCAATACATATTTTTAATTTACTGGCTAATACTAAGTTAATTTTTTTTTATAATGATTATAGCTTTTCACATTTATTAGTTAAATTAAATTGTAATTTAAAAAAAAAATAATAGTTTATACTGATTAGTTCCCTTTGTCGAATATCCATCTCCAATTCTTTTCTATAGGTCGCACAACATTGTTATAGATATATAATTCAGATCAAGTTTTTATTCGAAAATAAATCTATTTTGAATCATCGGAAAGGTCAGAGCTCGAAACAAAAAATGCAACCAATCAATATTTTCCCAACATTTAGGAAAACTTGTTTCATGTATCTATTATTAGAATGATTTATTATGCTGATGGTAGAATACGAGTAGAACGATTTGAATAATATCAGTTATCTTGATTTGATTTTTATTCATGTTTTTTGGAAACGGTGAAATGTGTAATTTCAATTTGTGAGTTACAAAATTGCGATTTTTATCTAACGTTTGATTGTTTTTCTGAGAAGACTAGTTGTTTTCCTGAATTATAATAGGTTAAATTCTGAAACTTTCGTTTATAGAGTATAAGCTTTTGGCTTATAACTTTGGATGAATCGTTTGTGTTACAATTTTGTAATTTGAATATATTAGTTCTCAGTATAGAATAGAGCGGGTCACAAAGGTTCAATTTGACTTTGAGCAATTATGTTGAGAAAATCAAACCAATTATATCACAACAAATAACACATGAAACACATAATTATCTGACTATGTTCAGTAAAACTCCCAGCTAATTCATTGTTGAAAAAATGTATTTTTTTAAATATGTTACAGGGCAAACAGGTGCGACGTCTTATTTTAAATTTTAAAAGAATTATACGAAATAATAGCTACATTTTTCAAGCTATGCAAAATATAAATTTCATGAACAAAAATAAAACTCTATATAACCTTGATTTTGTCAAGAATGTTCATCAGCAGAGTTGGAATAACTATTTATTTAATTTATCTCTTATAAAATAGTTTTTTTTAACTTTATTTACATTTTTATTTACTATTTTTTCATTGTTTACACCTTTGACAGGGTAAAGGTTTAGTTAGTCTTTTTTCTTCACCTACGTGTAAGCTTTTATAGAGGTCATTAAAAAACTGTTGAATCTAACTTAAAAATAACAATACACCTTATAAAATATTTAAATAACGTAGGCTTAAAAATTATATTGAGGTATCATAAATCTTTTGCCCTTTACTTTCAAATATTGTTGTTAAAAAATTCCAACTTTACTTGTATTTGAAATATCGGCGGTGGACCTTTATACACGCTGCACCTTTCATTAAAATTGCAAATACAAAAATTATAATTGATAATTCAATGAAGTATCTCAAATTCGATCTTTGTCATTTTGTACTTTGTTTTCAACAATTAAAAATATGGGAAAAATAACATTAAATTGGTAAATATTCAAATATAATAAAATTATATGGTTAAAGTGTTTGACAGAAAGTGTGATCACATTATTGTATTTTTTTTATCTTATAAATAAGTGATTGTAAGGAACTTTTAGTGAATGAACTCAATTCGCACTTTATTGTATATTTATGAGATTATTTCCATTGATAAATCTCTTATGTTGTTTACTCGTATTTATACTAGCCATTTCTCTTTGGAACTTTTTTGGGCTTTGTGATTTTGTAATCGGATTTTGTTAGGACATCTTTGGATTATATGATTTTTGTTTTGTGTTATTTCTAAGATTTCATCTTCTACTATATATAATATGATTTTGGCTATATAAAATGGCTTGTTTTATTCGGAATTCACTCCGAGAAGATTACAGATTTACATTTAAAATTATGTATCCAATATTTTTTATGTTTTATTATACAAGGCTTTTATATGTGATAATTTAATTATTTAAATTCTTTTAACGTATTACTTGTTCAGAACATTAATTTGTAATTTAATTCTTTCTATACGCAAATGTGCAAAAATTAATTAAAATATCCCGCGGCCACGTTAATTCATTTTAAACCATCTCTATTAATTCAGAGCTTATTCACATTTTTAATCTTTATGTATAAAGTAGCATATTAAGTTTGTAATATTTATGTAACGATAAATTGATTTTCAGTACTATTTTATTATTTGAATATAGATATAATATTAAACTAAATTGGATTAAGATATAATTTTATAACACCTGCGAGCTCTTCACTAAATAAAAGTTTAATTAAGATTTTTGAATAGGGGAGCTAGAGGCTTGTTGTACATTTAATACAAATAAAATATACAGTGTGTCCTGTAACAAAATTTACATGTGTTCACATCTTACAAACTATACATTCTAGAGGAATGCGAAGAATGATTCCACCCAATCTTTTTCTCTTGAATCTGTATATAATTCTTCTATGTTACAATTACCACAAGGTTTTGTTTCAACTATCCCCAGGTGTGATTTTCTTACATTAATCAAAATAGCTATTCAAACAATTTAGCAATCACAAAAGTTGTTACATATTATCAAAGGTTGAAAAATTTCAAACAAAACTTGTGGTGTGCATGGCATCGTGCCTTAAGGCAAGTTGCTAACTTTCCGTACCAAAAAAAAATACACAAAATGTGTACACAATATTAAAATCTCTATAAAATATCTGATAATTTGATGTAAATATGCCCAATAAATATTTTTGACCGCCAAATGGCATTTTTTAAACTTATTTTTATTGAGAGTCCATAACCGTTGGACTTGCCTTTCCAAAAACTTAATTAGTTCTTCATCTTGTCAATACAAGTAAAATGTTTTTTGAATTATTAAAATCGGACGCTCCGTTCTCTTAAAAACTGAGTTATCGTTTTTGGCACTTTTTGCCCCGTATCTTCGGAACGGCTAGATCTGTCTTCGCCAAAAACTATTCAGCACGTTTCCTTATGAATACGAATCGAATGTTTTTTGAATTACTCAAATCGGTTGATCCGTCTTTCCGAAATCGTCGACGAAAATTTGTATCCGCACACACACACATACATAAATTTTTTCTAAGGTATGCCAAAATGTTCAAGAACCTTTGAAACGTGAAGATATATAAAAATTTTCATTTTCGATTTTTTGGGATTATTATAACTTGCCCTACGGGAAGTTAATAATTTCGATTTTTATTAATATAATATTATACTCCTGAATTCTCTATAATGTGTACAATCTACAATGACAGTTGTCGCAGAAATACTAAATCAAATGATAATAAAAAAACAAATTCTAGTTTGACTAAATAAACTAAATCATATTTATTAATAAAAACTATTAATAAAGTAATAAAAGAAAAAAGCAAAAAATACCACGAAAAAATACCACGTTACCCAACCAAATATTTAAAAGAATTAGGTGAGGAATCTCCTACTCGAAGATTGAAAAAAAATTGCCATACGATCTTAAGTGAAATGTCAACAAATTAAAAAAAAAGAGATATCTCATAGGAGATTAACTATTTAAATTCATTTACACCCAGCATATTGTCTTAAAAATTATATTATTTTGATTGGTAATAAATCTATGCAAAAAAAAGTGCGTGTGTTCGCAATTAACGTGCACGCGGTATCGTTTTCCTTTCCGGCAATTCAGTCTGCGCACCAGTACCAATATCATGAAACAAAAGAGCATCCAACAAGTTCTATTGGACGTTTCTAAACTGATGTCAAAAGTTTATATATCATAAATTGCGTACATTATTTATCGTTCGAAACGAAAATGGAAGATAAGCAAGATTTGAGCGCTACTAGCAGCAAGACTGAACAAAAAGGCCGCAAAAACATATATAAAGGTCCCTACATAAATTACCGAATGTACATGTCGCGAAAGGAGGGTACCCGAGAACCAATATTTAGGTGCGACAGGTGTGATTTCGCGACCGAGGACGTGTGCCTGATGAAACATCATGCTATCATGGAAAAATACAGTTCGAAGGAAATTAGATGTGTCCATTGTCATAAGATGTTTGAGAACCAGGAGGATTTGTCTGCACATCTTGCAATCAGTAG